TTTATTCAGGTACCTGTTGGATTTGTCGCTGTTGCATTTGATATTGGCAAACAGATCATCATTCGTCCCGAAGATACTGAATCCGGACCGTTCGAAACCAATTCAGCTACGTTTCTGTTTGACAAACAAAATGGGTTTCAATCAGTTCAATTGCAAGTGCGTGAATTGGATGAATTGAAAGTGAATACACGTGATGGTATCACAATCATCGCTCGAGGTTTAATTACCTATCGTATCCATGATCCTCGAAGTGCATTTATGACTGTACAAGATATTCACGGTGCAGTGAAACGTGGTGCTGAAGCAACACTAACGTCACTATTTTTAAATGCTAATATTGATGAAATAGCTCCATCTGTTCCAATGACATAACCAAATTTGATGCAAATAACTGATGATAAAAGTGATAAACTAGATTTTAGTAAACACGTTCGAGAAGCATTTCTACATGACTTCTCACGTAAAGTGCATGAATGGGGTATTGAACTGAAAGATCTGAATCTTGAAAAATTAGAGTTTGATGGTAATGTTAAAGATTTATTACGTAAACGTGCACAAGCTCGTATTGAAACAGCTACGAATTTGGCTAATATGTATTCACAAACCGAAATAGCCATGCAACAAGCCGATCGTGAAAAACGTCAGCAGCAAATAAAAGCAGAAGCAGAAGCATCAGTGATCAAAACTCGTGCTGACGCTGAATATTATGCAGCTGAAAGACACGTACAAGGAGCTCGACTTTTACAAGAAGTACCACTATCGGCACAATTGGAACTAAAACGTTTAGACGTTGAAATGATTCGTGCTACAGGTGATAAAACCACATTTCTACCATTGAATATGCAAATTGGTAGTATGAATACCAGAGATCCAAATAATGGACAGATGTATTGGACAATGCAGAATAATGATGCAGTTACCAGAATGTAAACTGCATATATTCTGTCTTTATTATCGAAATAAAACGTTGCCGGCTAATTCCATGGGGCTTCGATGGCCATTACACTTACGTTTGCGGCAAACTCTGAAATGTGTCTCAAAAGAAAGCCCATGGCTTTCTGATCAAGACAATGTTATTTAAATAATTTTAAAATATTACTACAACATGTTTAACCTTTATTTTTGTGTATGTAAAGGAACAACATTAATGTGTCGTACGATGGAGGACAAAAGTTTTGTAACGCCATTATCTGCTGAAGGAAGAAG